GCAAGTAATTCTGTCTGTCTGGGTGATGGGCTGAGTTGCATCTAAGTCAGCATTGTGTCCGTAAACTGGGTCACCCGGATTGAAAGGGTGTGTCCCCGTTAAGGCACTGGACAGTCCCTCTCGGGACACCCAGCACACACCCTTCCCTGCGTTTGCCCCAGTGGTGGGTGGGGGCTGCTGTCGGTGTGCTTGGTCCAGAAGGCAGAACTTCATCCCATGTGCCTGCAGGTTTCTGTGCAAACGCATTTAAGAGGTTTTTTTAAGCCGAAATTGGTTTGGCTCAGTAGATAGAGCATCAGCCTGCAGACTGAAAGGTCCCAGGTTTGATTCCGGTCAAGGGCATGTACCTGGGTTGTGGGCACACCCCCGGTGGGAGATGTGCAGGAGGCAGCTGGTCGATGTCTCTCATCGATGTTTCTAACTCTCTATCTCTCTCCCTTCCTCTCTGTAAAAAATCAATAAAATATATTTTTTTAAAAAAGGTTTTTTTAAAAGGAGAGTATTTCTTCTTCTAGGTAGAGGGGATTCTAGTCCCTCTCACTCACGCTCTGGTTAGATCAGTTGCCTCTGAAAAGGTAAAGAGGGATGGGAATCGACTAGTTTTCCTTCCTGTCATTTAAAAAAACTTTGTTTGGAAATAATTTCAAATTTACAGAAGTGACGGATATGAAACAAAAGGAATGCGGGGGATGCTGGTGTTTCCCTCCCTCCAGCCTCCCAGGCTAACGTTTGCCTCTGCTGTACCCTCGCCCGTTCTCTCTATCTCTGTGTCTGTATGTGTAAGTTCTGAACCATTCAGAACATAACAAAACAGTTGTCACCTGCAGTCAATGTGAAATTGATACAATACCCTCATTAAACGGCTGTTTGTAACCCATTTTGTCTGGTGGCCCAGCAGTGCCCTTCACAGCGCTTTTTTCTGTACAGGTGTCTGCCCCTAGCTCCTTCGGTTTTTGCTCCCTTGGTTTGTTGATGTTTTCTTAAAAATCTTTATTGTTGAAAGTATTACAGATGTCTCTTTTGTGTGTGTGTGTGTGTGTATTTTTCCATTGCCCTCCTCCACCATGCACTGGCCCCTCCCCAGCCTTCACCACACTATTCTCTGTGTCCATGGGCTATGCGTATCCTCCTATATAATAAAAGCCTAATATGCAAATTGTCCCCTCTGGTGGTCATTCGACCGGGAGTTCGCTCGCTATGACATATGCTGACCACCAGGGGGTGGCATGGAACATGGTGGGAGTTGGTGACGCGGTGCTTGCAGCAGGCGGTAGTGGAGGGGCTGCCCGCCCCAATGGCCGCTGATAAGAGCAGGACCACGGTGGGATGGTGGAACAGGTGAGCAGGCAGTGCCAGGCCAAGGCAGGTGTGAGTGGGGGCCCAATGTCCCCACAAACGGTGAGTGGTGGCATTAGGGGGTGGGGCTGCCACCTGTCTCCCAGGTGCTGAGGGAGCGGGGTGGGGGCCTGGCCCTGATCGATCGCCCCACAGATGGGATAGTGAAGCAGGTGAGGGGGTTGGTGACGCGGTGCTTGCAGCAGGCGGTAGTGGAGGGGCTGCCCGCCCCAATGGCCGCTGATAAGAGCAGGACCACGGTGGGATGGTGGAACAGGTGAGCAGGCAGTGCCAGGCCAAGGCAGGTGTGAGTGGGGGCCCAATGTCCCCACAAACGGTGAGTGGTGGCATTAGGGGGTGGGGCTGCCACCTGTCTCCCAGGTGCTGAGGGAGCTGCTTTTGGATTCTTTCAAACACTTATTTCACTTAGCATGATACTCTCCAGATTGCTCCATGCTGTTGCCAATGGTGGGAGTTCCTCCTTTCGTACTGCCGCGTAGTATTCCATTGTGTAGATGTGCCACAGCTTTTTCATCCATTCATCTGCTGATGGGCACTTGGGCTATTGCCAAATCTGAGCTATTGTACATTGCACTATGATGAACATAGGGATGCATATATCCTTTCTGATTGGTGTTTCTGTTTTCTTGGGATATATTCCTAGAAGTGGGATCACTGAGTCAAATGGGAGTTTCATTTTTAATTTTTTGAGGAAACTCCATACTGTTCTCCACAGTGGCTGTACTGGTCTGCATTCCCACCAGCAGTGCAAAAGGGTTCCTTTTTCTCCACATCCTCCCAGCACTTGTCGTTTGTTGATTTGTTGATGACAGCCATTCTGACAGGTGTGAGATGGTACCTCATTGTTGTTTTGATTGGCATCTCGTACGATTAGTGACTTTCTTGCTCCCTTGGTTTTTGCTCCCTGTGAGCTTACTAACTTCTTTGCTTGCCTTGAATGTATTTTACAAAGTTCAGCTTGTTCTGGCCATCACTTTCTGAAATCATTATCACGGTTTATGCCACTCTTTCTTACATTCTTTACTTATTCCTGGGTGACTACGTCTCCCTCTCTTCTCTCCCAAACCCTGTTTCCAGAGATCACACTCCTGGGGAAATGTCCCACGCAGCCACATTGGTTTCTCTTCTCTCTCGGGCATTAGTGGGCATTGAGCTGTGAGAGCCGTATTTAAATAACCTGCAGTCTTGAGTCAAGGGGAAGAATTCAGTGCGAAAGGTTTTTGGGTGTGGCGAAGGGAACTGACGAGAACTTCGGAGTAGCACGCCGTGGGTTTTTCTAGATCAGTGCTTCTCAGCTTTAATGTGCACACAAACCTCCAGGGGATCCTGTTAAGATGCAGGTTCAGATCCAGGAGGTCGGAGTGGGGCCCGGGATGCATTAATAGGTTCCTGCAGCGGCCAGGCCCTGGAAAAGGCTTCAGACCCGGATGATGTAGGTCCCAGGGCACTGACCTCTGGTAGGTGAGATAGCTTGTCTGTAGTTGATGGTCGTAAAGGAATTTCAACAAAAGAGAGGTGTCAGGAACATGAAGACGAGATGTAAAGTTCTGGACATTTTTTTAAAAGTTGCTAGTGGAGGTGTGTTCCAAAAGTTACAGCCTGGAGTCGGGTTCTGGTGTCTGGCACGTTCTGGGTGAGCAGCAAACGGTAGGCGTGTGACTGAACCTGGTCCAGAGGGAGCAGGTGACTGACTGGTCATGGACTGTGAGCACTTCAGGCATAAAGTTCATTGGTGGCTAGCGGGGTCTGTCCTGCCTTTTTCTGTTTAGACAGGCTTATCAGATGGGAGGATGTGGTAGAGATCATTCCTAGCTTTCACACAGGAATCTGACAAGGCCTCAAGATTTCTTTGTGGACATTGCAAAAAAAAAAAAATTGCAGGTTAGTCGGAATTGTGCCTGGTAGCACAGATGTACCAACACCGTAGTGAACACAGATTGATGCATGAGGGAAGTGGTCTGCAGTGGCACCCCTGTGCTTTTGGATTCTTTCAAACACACTCTTTTATTTTTTAAAAATGTTTTTATTGATTTTTAGAGAGAGAGAAAGGGGAGGGATAGAGAGATAGAAACATCAGTGATAGAGAAACATTATCGATCGTTTGCCTCTTGCCTACCCCCTTCTGGGGATCGAGCCCCCAACCCAGGCATGTGCCCTGACTGGGAATTGAACCGGCAACCTCTTGGTTCATGGGTCAGTGCTCAACAGCTGAGCCACACTGGCTGGGCCAAACACACTCTTTTAAACCTGGGGTGAATGCAGAGCTGTGGCCCATACTGACCATGCCCAAGCCCTTTGGGCTGCTGCTGGGAGTTGTCCTGCAGCTGCTCTGTGCTGGGCTTCCCTTGAGGACTCTGGGCTCTGCATCGCTCTCTTGACATTTCACGCATAAACATTGCCTGTGTCCTGAACACTTTTCCTGACAGTGTCATGAAGGGGTTGGCATTCCTCCCAAGATGCATGACGAGGTGGAGACGTACAGAGCCTCCTAGAGCACACGGCCACATGGAGGAGGGCGGACCTAGGGCTGCACCCAGGTGTGCCTCAGCCAGAGTGGGCTTGACCAGACGTCATTCTGCGTCCATCCCAAACGACTGACATTCGGGGTGCAGCGCAGAGAGCCCGCATGTGCTAGCCGCTTGCTCAGGAGCTCTCGGAGAAGAGGCCTGCTCATGCTGTCCTAGGCCTCGGGGTGTGGCCCGAGTCCTCTACTCCAGCTGCGTGGTGTTGGGGTGGGGTTCTCGTGAGCAGGTCGCCAGGCAGTAGGGAGGAGCATGGTATGCGCTGAAGGGGTCTCCTGTGGCAACGTGGGCGTGTGCACCCAGACACTAATAGCAGGTGTGGCCCAGCCAGCGTGGCTCAGTGGTTGAGCATTGACCTATCAACCAGGTCACATTTCATTCCTGGTCAGGGCACATGCCCAGGCTGTGAGCTCTATCCCTGGTGTGGGGTGTGCAGGTAGCAGCCAATCATTGATTCTCTCTCATCATTGATGTTTTTATTTCTCTATCCCTCTCCCTACCTCTCTAACCTTCCTCTCTGAAATCAACAAAAATATATTTTAAAAAAATAGCAGCTATGACCCGGGTCCCCAGTGGTACAGAGTTCCCCGAACGCTGGCACTGACCCCTAAGCCTAGGTGTCAGATTGCTGGAGCTTTGTTGCTGTTAGTTTTTTTAAAATATATTTTTACTGATTTCAGTGAGGAAGGGAGAGGGAGACAGAAACATCAATGATGAGAGAGAATCATCAATTGGCTGCCTCCTGCAGGCCCCCTACTGGGGATCGAACCTGCAACCCGGGCATGTGTCCTGACCGGAATTGAACCGTGACCACCTAGTTTATAGGTCGACACTCAACCTTTGAGCCTTATCGGTCAGGCAAGAGCTGGAATTTTGTTGCTTCTATGACAGCAGGACCTCCAGGCTTCACAAGCTGTCCTGTAACTGCCTCTCACAGGCCCTGGGTGGCCAGTGTCGGCACTGGATGTGTGTCTGCTCGTCGCGTGCGAACTGTGGTTCCGTTGTGCTTTCAGTGGTTGTGCCTCAGCGTGTCCTGTTGCGTGGCTGTGGGAGAAGAATGGAGGGCTGTTGGCTGGGAAGAAAACTAAGAAGTTACAGGACTTCCTTTATTTTTCCTCCTAGTACTGAGCATGCTCCACAACCCACTGGGCAATGTCCTGGGGAAGCCCCCCTTGAGCTTCCTGCCGCTGGACCCTCTTGGATCTGACGTGGACAAGTTCTCAGCACCCTCAGTCAGAGGTTCCCGCCTGGACACGCGGCCCCTCCTGGACTCCCGCTCCAGCAGCCCCTCGGACTCAGACACCAGTGGCTTCAGCTCCGGATCAGATCATCTCTCAGACTTGATTGTATGTCGCTTATCGGGGAGCCGGGTGGGAGGGCCAGCATGCTTGACAGGGGTACGTGCCCACTAGGATGCTGGAAGGTGTGGAGGCCATCGTGGGCACATACAGAGCTTTTCGTCCTCGACAGAATAGAGGATGCCTTGTACACCCATTGGGCGATGCATTTCAGGACCTGAGCCCGGGACACTTCTTATGAGTTTCTCCAGGAGCCGTTGGGTCACAGTTACTTCACAGGCAAACATGGGAGTCCTAGCCGAGTTCCGTTTCCTGGCCTACACGGGGTGTTCTTTAGCCTAAACACAGTATCGTTTATGTGCCTTTATGTATGATATCTCAGAACTCTTTAGTGATGATTTTTAAAATTATGGGCATGCTCCGTTTTACTGCCCTACGAGGTGTTGCAATTGTTTATGAACGAAGGCAAGACCCTCCACCAGCCAAAGAGGTGATGACTCGCTTTCTTGCGGTGGTCTGGAGCCAGACCCGCAGCACCACCTGGGTGCGCCTTCATTGGTGGGGCCAGGGTTCTCACCTAGACCTGACTGCCCCTGACTCCTAAAGCCTTTCCTGACCCAGGTTGGCTCTCTGTCTGAGGCCACTGTGCACCTATGAAGTGCTGCCCAGTGTTAATGTGGCACCCAGGCTCCTCACCTGCAGCCGTGTGGCGGGGGCGCCCAGGCTGCGCGGAGCTGGCGGTGGGTTAGGTGAGGAGCACAATGCCAGGCAGCCTTAGCCGCCGCCTCATCCTGGCCTTTGTTCCGGTCCCTACACTGGCTGGTCGATGAATGGAAGGCTGGCTTCCTACCTCTTCCCTCCACACCCAGGCCTGGCCACCCTGGTTGTGGATACAGTTCCCATTCATAGCCCAGCCATGAGCACCCACCTGGTCTCCTGTCCGCTCCCCTAGAGCATGAGCTGGCGCCCCTGTTCCCCTGGCCCGGCTCAGGCTACTCCCAGAGGGGTCCCAACAGTGGGCTCTGCTACCCTGGGCCGTAGTTTCCTCCTGTAAATGGGGTGAGATGAGGTGCTTCTGGTTATGGCCTTCAGAGGGGGTCTCAGTCTTGGAAATTTACCTCATAAAGCTTTAATCTTTTGAGTTTTGTTGAAAGAATTTCCTCAGGCCTGGCCCGTGTGGCTCAGTGGTTGAGCGTCGAGCCATGAACCAGGTCACGATTCAATTCCTGGTCAGGGCACATGCCCGGGTTTCGGGCTCAATCCCCAGTAAGGGACGTGCAGGAGGTGGTCTGTCATTGATGATTCTTTCTCATCAATGGTTCTATCTGTCTTTCCCTCTCCCTTCCTCTATCCAAAAATGAATAAAAACACACAAAAAAAGAACGTCCCCAGATACCTCACCCCTCACAGAGGAGGGAATAGAGGCAGTATTTGAACTTTTAGGACATATTCTGTTGAGTGATTATTTTAGTTTGTTTTTATGATAATGTGATGTTATTTTACCCACTGAAACCAGTAGAATTTAAAGCTTTGGCACAAGCTTAGCATAAACCCCGTGTTCTTACGTATTTCTGATAGAACCTCCCCCCTCACCCCCGCAAGAGAAAGCATTTTGACTCTAGACCTAGGAATCTGACCAAAGAAAACACAAGATATGAAGCTACATCTTAAAGTACTTATTTAGAGACCGAGAGTATCTGAGTGCTCATCAGTGGGGCAATAGGTCAGGGAAATGTAGCTTGGTCCCTAAATAGAATATCGTAAATTAATTAAAAATGCTTACAAAGACTGTCTGGCAAAATGGAAAAAAAAATGTTGACTTGGGGACAAAAGAATTTGTTTAAATTCGGGTAGGACAACTAATCTTAAAGATGCTTAGGGAGGGAGTCTGGAAGAAAGCAGAGCCAGTGCTTAATGGTGTTTTTCATAATGTCTGCAGTGCAGTTGTTGCTCTTTCCACCAGCCCGCCCTCTGAAAACCTTCTCCCTTTTCCTCCTTCAGTCCAGCCTGCGCATCTCCCCCCCTCTGCCCTTCCTGTCCCTGACAGGGGGTGGCCCCCGAGATTCCTTAAAGATGGGGGTTGGGTCCCGGATGGACCAAGAGCAAGCTGCTCTTGCCGCTGCTGCTGCCGCCGCCGCCGTCACTCCTTCCCCAACCAGTGCATCGAAGAGATGGCCAGGAGCGTCCGTGTGGCCCTCCTGGGACCTCCTGGAAGCCCCCAAAGACCCCTTCAGCATCGAGAGGGAGGCCAGGCTGCACCGGCAGGCTGCAGGTGAGTGCGGGTGCACAGGCCGGGCCGACGGGACCTGACAGAAGAGGCCCGGATCTGCAGCGCGGTCTGTCCTCTGGAGTGAGTGCTGATGGGACAGTCGGGCTTTTCTGGGCTGGCAGGCAGGAAGGCGTAGTGGCCTGTGTGCAGGGCGGTGGTGAGCGTTGGATCCCTCCCACCTGTTTCCCCTGGAGGCTGGCCATGCGCAGCCGTCCGTCCATTTATTCTCCCATGGAAACCCTGGCGGGATGCTCTGAGCCTTGTCTCCCTTCACCTTCCTAACTCAGGCAGGAGCTTCTTCCCCGAGGCTGTCTGACGGGTGAACTCGGGGACACGGGTGGGCAGCCTCTAAGGTAAGGGCTGTCCCCGGGTGTCCTGGTCTCCCACAGACCTCGGGCTCCGTCATTGACCTGAGCTGAAATACACACTGCATCTGTTTGTCATCTTCCACCCGTACCCGGAAGTAAATGAGTCAGTCAGTGTTTACTGAGGCGTCGTCAGGTGCCCACTGACCGCGGTTCGGAGGTGCTGAGCCGATGACGGCCGGTGTTCAGTGTCTCCCTTCCCGGTGTTTCCAGAGGCATCAGTATGTCTGACTTTCTGCTCACAGAGCTGGACCTGATCTCATTCTCCTCTGATGGTGCCCCTGCCCTGTCCACTTCGTGGTCTTGGCCGCCCATCTTTGCACTTTTTCCAGTGCCACTCTCCCTGCGAAGGAATGTTATATCGAGTTCCGTTATTGTTCACAAAACATTGCTGATAGTTGACAGTTTCTTGCTGGCACGTTGGGCCTTGTAGGGAATGGCTTCATGTCATGTCATCGCCTGAGTGAACATGAGGCTTGGTTTCCTTGGCTCCCTGTCCCGGTGCTACAGCAGGGAGTGCAGTGGGCAAGGCCTGGCCATACCCACGAGGTCACTCCCGGATCTGGAGCAGCACAGACCGAATGGGGACAGGATTAAAGACTGCTAGAAGGCCGAATTGGTCACCAAGAACAGAGCCTCAACCTTCTGGCCCTTTAAATACAGTTCCTCATGTTGTGACCCAACCATAAAATTATTTTCGTGGCTACTTCATCACTGTCATGTTGCTACTGTGATGAATCGTCATGTAAATATCTGATATGCAGGATGGTCTTAGGCGACCCCTGTGAAAGGGTCGTTCGACCGCCAAAGGGGTTGCGACCTACAGGTTGAGAACCGTTAGAAACTGTAGGGCCGAACAGAAGAGCAGTCAGGGAGTTTTGAGTCGGAGTTAGACACATCACAGCAGGTTGGGACAGGCTTGTCATTGGCATACATTGCACGCTGGGCGGGGTGGGGGGGGTCCATTATCTAAGGAAGGCCCCATGTTTGTTGGGGCATCGCACACATAGCTGTGGGGGGTGGGACTCTGGTCTTGTTGGGCTGCTGGTGAGGGCACTTTATTGGCAGGGTCCTAACTTCCGTGATGGGTGAGTTCAGAGTGAAGGCAGCGAAAGTAGAGGCAACTGTTTCTTGTGTGAACATGTGGGGATAAGGCCCATGTGGAGCAGTCAGCCTTTGGGATCTCGTGCACAAAATCGTTCTATTTACGTTCAAGTAATTTTATTTTATTAGCATTGGAAGCAATGACTAGACAAAACGGCTTTGTGGTTAGTTACCAGTTACGTGTTTGGAAACAGCTTGGGTTGTGAGCATTTTTACCTACAGATCTCCGTTTTCGTGGAGACAGAATTGGTGATGAGGGCTGGGTTGACGGGATGGGCTGACGGCGTGGTGAGGTGTAAGGTTTCCCGCCTTGTGGAATAGCCGGGGCGTTCTCCTAGCAGCCTGGCTGCGCCGGGCCGTCCTGTTCTTCCTGGACACCTTCACCCCAGGGGAGGGCGGTGGTTCTCTGACCCGTTTCCCTGTCTCTGCCCCCAAAGCTGTGAATGAAGCGACCTGTACCTGGAGTGGCCAGCTTCCTCCCCGGAACTACAAGAACCCTGTCTACTCCTGCAAAGTGTTCCTCGGAGGTGTTCCATGGGATATTACGGAAGGTGAGCGGCCTCCAGGCCTCCTGCTTCAGGAGCATGACGCCGGGCTGGAGGCCGGGCTGACCTCTGATCTCAGGGTGCTCCAGGAGCCTGGGAGGGGCGCTTCCCCGACTCCCATCGTGCTCTTGTCGGTGCTTGCACCTGCCCCCGAGACCACAGTCCTCTCAGATGTTGTTTGTGGGGGGATGAGCCTGGGAGAGCTGGGCCTCCTGGGAAGGGTGTGCCTCAGCACCCCCTCTCGTCCATCTCTTCGCAGCTGGATTGGTTAACACCTTCCGTGTTTTTGGCTCCCTGAGTGTGGAGTGGCCCGGTAAGGATGGCAAGCACCCCCGGTGTCCTCCCAAAGGTAATATGCCTAAAGGTAATAAAGACATGGTAGGAGCTTTTTTTTTCCTCCCTAGCACATAATTGCACTGAGGGATGCTGGGATGTCACCGCTGCATGCTGGTACCATGGTGTAGGCACCTGGAGCACAGCTTTCCGCTGTCAGCACTGCTCCCCACCTAGCACCACCCCTCTGTTCTTCTGGCTAACGGTCCGTCTGTCCAAACTGACCTGCAGTGGGAGCTGCCGCTGCAACCCCCGTGTGACACTTCCTGTGCCCTCCCCCACCTGGACCCAGCCGCTTCCCTCAGAACAAGGCATTCGCAGGGCCCCCTTTGTCTGCCCCCTGCCTAGTTACATTGTTGCTGACCTCCTTCTGAGCTCCCTTTGGAGTCGGCAGGAAGGAGGACCAAGCCTCGATCCCTCACTGGTCTGAAATGAGATCCCTTCCCTGCAGAATGGAGGCAGGTGCTATTTTCACCCTGCCCGTCTCCACTGGCAGTGTCCCGGGGGGGACAGGACCAGTGGTAACTAGGCTTTTAGAGCAGCACCCCCACCCTGCAGGTAGGCTGCAGACCTGCCTCCGCTCCCCCACCCTCCCCCGGCCAGGAACACGTGCTCCGGTCGGGTGAAGGGCTGTGTGGTATGACAGGCCCCGTCCTGCCTCGCCAACCTCCCCCTGCTCAGGTAGGCAGAGCAGGGCTCCCTTCAACAAGACTCCCCAGGAGCAGGACACGCTTGTGTCGTACGCACGAGGCTGCCTCTCCTGGAACCGAGAGCTGCAGAACGAAGGCTGAGGAGGGGCCGAGGGGTGCTGATGCCGCTTCTTTCGTTGGGAACAGGGTATGTGTATCTGGTCTTCGAACTGGAAAAGTCTGTCCGGGCCTTGCTGCAGGCTTGCTCGCATGACCCGCTGAGCCCCGACGGCCTGAGCGAATACTACTTCAAGATGTCCAGCCGAAGGATGCGCTGCAAGGAGGTGAGTGAGCACCACGTCCTCTCCGAAGAGGCCAGTGTCTTTGGGTGGGAGGACACGCAGGCTGCAGGCAGGTGTCCTCCTGAGGCAAGAAGCTCCTCCTGCCTCACAGCAAATACAGCAAAATACTCTCAATTCCATAAAAAAATAAAAGCAACCTTTGGGTCCTCGTGGTATGTGTGTCTCCTGCCCATGGAGGTCACACTGACTCCCAGCCACCTCTGACCTGGGGTGGGTAAGTCTGCAGCCCACACTCCCGGGATCCCTGCTTCCCTCCCGCCCTTCGCTAGTCGTGTGGTTCCCCTGCGGGTGCTCTCTCTCCTCACTCCCTATCGGCCGCGTGCCCTTTGCCTCTGGGGTCTCAAGCCCAGATTCCCCGCCTGGACCTCAGTGCGTGTTCGGGCCCTTCTCAGACTCACGGCGTCGGTGTGGGGGGAGCTCAGGAAGCTCCCGTTCAGCCAAGCTGCCGCCTGGTTCTAGGAGTGGATGGTGTTTGAGAAACAGGTTTTGAAAACAGCATGGGTTCCTGAGCTCACCACGCCCTTTAGGTCACGAGGGCCCATCACGACCTCACATCTCGTAAAGGGTCCAGTGCTGCTGTTTTAGATTCTGGTTCCATTCAAGTCCCTGTGGACTAGATGTGTAGTGTCTCTGAAACATGGTTTGCTCCTCTGTCAGATGGGGGATCGGAGTGCCTGTGTTCGTGAGGAGAGGCAGTTGCCAGGGTCCTGGGAGGGGACGATGAACAGGTGGCACAGGGGGTCTTCAGGGCAGTGAACACTCCTCTGTGATCCTATAAAGGTTAACACATGTCCTTATACTAGCACCGCCCCCGGAATGAGGTCCCTCCCTGCGGAAAGGAGGCAGGTGCTGTTTTCACCCTGCCCCTTACGGTGTCACACCCGTAACATACAACACCCCTAACGGTGAGCCCTGATGTGAGCTCTGGCTTGGGGTGACAGTGACGTGGCCACAGAGGTTCCCTGACCACCAAGTGCACCTGGGGTGCAGATGTTGATGCCGGGGCTGAGCTGAGGGGGCAGGCGTATGAGGGAACTCTGAACCTTAGCTTAGTTTTGCTGTGAACCTAAAACTGCTCTAGAAGTAAAATCTGTAGGGTAAGTGGGGAAATGTCTGTTTTATTGAGGTGGTCGCCTCAGAATTAAATTAAGGCACATGCCCTTCCTGGTTTGGCTCAGTGAATAGAGCGTCGGCCTGTGGACTGAAGGATCCCAGGTTCGATTCTGGTCAGCGTACATGCCCCGGTTGCCAGCTCCATCTCCAGTAGGGGGCGTGCAGGAGGCAGCCGATCAAAGAGTCTCATCATGATGTTTCTATCTCTCCCTCTCCCTTCCTCTATGAAGTCAATAAAAAGATTAGATAGAAAGATAGATATAGATATAGATATATTCTAAAAACAAGGCATGCCACGAAGCTGGCTCTTTGTTTTATAGCTGTTTCCTGGTGTCATTTCACATTTTGTCTTAGTCACAGGGCAGGCCCATCCTCTGGCTGCCCCCAGTGACCCAGAGCTCCCCCTCCTCTCCGTTCTCTTTACTGGGGCCCATGCAGTGACCCCTTGCTGCACCCTAGGACTGGTCAGCATGCTCCTCTGCCTGTCCTGCTTTCCCCGGCCCCTCAGCCCCCTCCGTGCCCTGCTGACTCCGTCCTGTCCCTCTTCCCTCACTGCCCTGCAGTGACTGCCCTGCAGTGTCTGGTGTGCTGACCGTAGGCTGCCCTGTTGCTTGGCCTCTTCTACTTCCTGCAGGTCCCTTCCCACCACTGCGTGGTCAGCATCTGACTCCCTTCTCTCTTCTTTCCGGATCAGACACGTGCTTCACCTGTGGCTCTGCTCTTACCTTCAGACACCTCTCCGGGCTCCTGCCTGCTTGGCCCGCCTCCCCTGGGGCCCCTCTTTGGGAATGACCTGTGATCCCCAACGGTTCTGTTTAGTGTAACAAAAAGCTTGGAGAGCCTGGTGGCCCGTGGCATGTGGACCAAGGTGGTGGCACCTCCCGTGGGAGTGGACAAAGCAAAGTGGGCCTTTGCATCTCCCAGTGAAATTGGCTCTGGGTAACTTCTGCCAGGCCCTCTCTTCCCAGGGTCCTCTGGGCCTGGACCCCGGCCAGGTTCCTCCTGTTGTCCCACACGCCCAGGCCGGGGCTCTGCCGGCGGGTCTTCTGGGCTTGGCTGCCCGTGCCCGTGCCCGTGCCCTGGCCCCTGCAGGTCTGCCTCTCCTTCCTCTGACCCTCCTTCGCGTCTGCCTTTTGCTGGTTTCCACCTCATCTCTTCCTGCTTTGAGACAGTCTTTTAGATCTTTACACATTAATCTTCCCGAACACTACAGCCTGCACTTCACTGTGGGTCTCTGCCTGCTCTGCCAGGTTTTGTCCGAGGCAGAGACGTGGTCAGCTCCTGCCCTGGTGCTGGTCTGCTCTGTGAGCCTCCGTGAGTGACCACTGCCCGCCTCTGTCGCCCCCACGGCGCTGGCACCCGGGCCAGTGACCACCGCCTACCAGTACCCTAAGCGCCCAGCCTCTGCCCCCAGCTCCTGCCCTTAAGTTTCCCTGTGGAGTCTTTCTGCTCCTGGGGCTCTGGCCTGTGCTCTCTGTACCTCAGTGTCCACGGCCCTTCGTTGGAACCACACAGGTGACGGTTTGGTTCTGCTTTGCTTGCTCCCCAGGATGAGTGACTGCATTTGGGCCACTTGCTGTCACCACTTGGACACATGGACTCGGTGAAAGTCAACTCTGGTTGGGCTGGGGCAGGCCTGTGTGCCGGGGACAGCACCTCTCGCCCGCCGCCCGGGCCTCACCCGGCTCCAGCGAGGCCAGGAGCTGCGCCTCTCCCAGCCAGAGCCGGCCTGGCTCCCTGCCAGCGTGAACACCTTTGCGTGCTTTTCCAGGTACAAGTGATCCCCTGGGTCTTGGCTGACAGCAACTTTGTGCGGAACCCATCTCAGAGACTGGACCCCAGCAGGACGGTGTTTGTGGGCGCCCTGCACGGGATGCTCAATGCCGAGGCCCTGGCGGCCATCCTGAACGACCTGTTTGGAGGAGTGGTGTATGCTGGGATTGACACAGATAAGCACAAGTATCCCATTGGTGAGCGTCCCCCTTCTGTGTGGGGCAGCGTGTGGCCCTGGGAGGTAGCCCAAGAGCGTGATACTTCCCCGTGGGAGCGAGAGGCAGGCCTGGCCCAGGGCTGCAGGTGGCGCATCCCAGCAGCTGAGCGTCTTTTTCTAGCTAAGCCACCCTCTGCGCCTACCCTCCCCCTCCTCCCGTGAAAGGGGGAACACACAGGCAGGGATCTAGGAGGTGAAAATGGGACAGGAACTCCGGTGGGAAGCTCAGAGCCAAACCGTCTGGGACAGACAACAGGTCATATAGTTCACGAAGAGGCCAGTACTTGCCTGAACTTGCCTGGCTTCCTTTATTAAGTGTCCTGTGCAGGGGCAGAGCCCAGTCAGGCTGAGGGAGAACTAGGTGATCCCCAGCACAGGGCAGTCTGGGCCCAGCTGCTGGGTTCTGGTCAGCCCCTCTGAGCAGGGAGGTCACTTCCAGACGCCGCACAGGAATCTTGGGCCGGTTGGAGGTGGAGCCTTGAACTTAATGATCGGGATGTGGCTGACCCACTCCCCTCACATGGAGCCGCGTGCATTGGTGCTGCACCTCAGACAGAGCGGCCTTCCGAGGTGCGGGGGCGGGGCGGCCCTTGGCAGGACCAGGCTCTCCCGGCTCCCTGCCTGGTCTCCAGGACCTCGGACGAGGGTGTGGCTGCTGGGCCCACCTTCAGAGAGAGGCTCTAGCTGAATCCTGGCTTCCATTCTGAGCCCTGTAGTCTTCCCTCTGCCCCTGCCTGCACCAGAGGGCTCCCCCCCCGCCCATGCCCGTTAGCAAGCCTTCCCTGTTCCTTTGGGGCTGGTGCCTATGTGCTCTGTAACCAGCCGTCTGAGTTGGTAGCCACCCACTGAATGTGGCTGCTGGGCTGCTGCAAATGTGGCTAGTGCCACAGGTTAAAATGATAAGGTTTTGTATATGTTGGGTTAAATAAAACATATTAAAGTTAATTCCACCACCAACAACCCCCCCCCACCCCACCCCCCACACACACACTTAGACGTGGCTACTAGAAAACTTAATACGAGTTGCTCACAGTACATTTCTATTGGACATCACTGGTCTAGACACAGGATTTCCTGAGTGCTGACAAGTGTTGAAAAGTGACATGTGGGAGAATTTGGCTAGAATGTCATTCTTCGGCCATACAAAATTATCAACTTAAAAATTGGCCTGCTCTATTTGGTCAAACACTTTATTAACTCACCCAGTGCCTTGGCAGGGCCAGACCAAATGCTTTCCCTGGCCCATACAGCCTGAGGGCTGGGCATCCCCACCCGTTAGAAGGTGAATTTGTTCTGCTGTTTCTACAACAGGGTCTGGGCGCGTGACCTTCAATAATCAACGCAGTTACCTGAAAGCAGTCAGCGCTGCTTTTGTGGAGATCAAAACCACCAAGTTCACCAAGAAGGTGAGGGGCTGGTCTGTCCCTTCCTCTGGGCAGGTTACCACCAGGGCAGCTGAGGCGGAGCGGTCCCTGTGCTGGGTGTGCCCTAGGGACTCTGGGTTCAGGTCTGGGGGGAGCCTGGTTGTGGTGACTCAGGAGAGGGGCCATGGCTGTTGAGCCTTCTCAGCCTGCGGGGCGCCTTCCCTGGCTGGGCATTGCCGGAGCCGACTGCCTTCTCCTGATCTGTGTCCTCTGAACGCTTCCCTGGTGGAGACTGGGGGTGCAGTGAGCTGGGGGCCAGGCAGGAATGTGTGTGGTCGCCCACACTGCAGAGGCTGCCAGCCTGGTCCTGCATGGTGAGCTCATCTGTCCCCTGGGGTCTCCACACTCTCCGCCCCTTTAACCCAGGAAGAGCCCTGCATTCAGGCGGAGAGCCCCATTGTGCACCCTCCCTCCCAGCCACTGGCTGCCTGGCCCTAGAGCCACTTCCTTCTCCTATCTCGCTTCCTGCAGGTTCAGATCGATCCCTACCTAGAAGATTCTCTGTGTCATATCTGCAGTTCTCAGCCTGGCCCTTTCTTCTGTCGAGATCAGGTGAGTCCCCTGGGCCCTGGAGGTGCCTAGGAAGTCCCCCTTAATTGAAAATGGTTACACCAGGTTCGTCACACAGAGTGTTGGGTACCTTGTGGTTGAGCAGAGGAGGCGCTGGTGGTCAGACCAGCGGCACACTGGGATGGTCTGACCCACAGCTCTTGGGAAAGCTCTCGAGTTGAGTCTTGACGCTCGGGCCTTCTCCATTTACACGATGTGGGCAGACATGTGGGCTGCTGCTGATCATGGGTGGGTTCTGAGGGTGACAGGAACCTGGGTGGGCCTGGTCAGCAGGACCTGTGAGCCAGGCCGTGTTGTTACAATTCTTAGGACTTCGAGGCTGCTGTTTCCCCGCTCAGGGACCCCTGGAGTGTTTTCGATGTTTATACCTGGTTTGTACCCCCAGTTGTCAGACACAGGCAGAGAGCACAGCACGGCAGCTTCTTGTTGACTGTTTCTGGGTGGCCGTGTGCACATCTGGGCGTGTTTTTCAGCAAAAATGCTTCTCACACTTGAATGTGTGTGCACATCACTTGAGGACCTTGTTTAAATGCAGATCGTGACTCGGCGGGTTTGGGGTGGGGCCCGAGACTCCCTGTTTCTGCCAAGTGTCCCAGTGGTGCCCCTGCAGCTGGTCTGTGATGGGTGACGGGAGCTTGGGGCCTGGCGGTGCGTCCACTAGTGTTTGCAGTGGTCGCTCAGGCTGGGAGCCCCTGTTTGACCATGGTTAAAGCGACGCTCCCAGGTGAGGGTGTGCAGTACCTTGGATCTGAGGACGGGCATCTCTCAGATCAGCCTCATCGAAGGTTTTGGGGGACCCTCCATTTTTAGGTAATTGCTCAGAGGTCAGTGGTTTGTCAGAGGTTATACAGTTCAGAGCAGGAGGCGGGACAGGGCCCCAGGGACTGTCACCTGCCCTCACTTCGGCTGAAGAAGGAGGCATGTCCTTTACATTGGGACCTGGAGTCACTGTCTTCAGATGTCCTTGCAGGTTAGCAGCGAGGCGGTGAGAGAAGACGGGGCCTGAGGAGCTGCTGCCGCAGTGAGGGGTGAGGGAAGCTGTACACAGTGGGAGCCCTGAATGTTGGATGAAGTCAGGGCACCTGCAGGAACACAGCAGGTTTCCCGGGTCGATTAGGCCTGTGTGAGGGGTTCCAGGTTCCCGAGACCCTCTCTTCTAGCACCACGGAGGCCCCAGGAGGCCCCACGGGCTCGCACACGGGGCCTGCGGCTGACACCGGAGCGCCCTGTCTCCCTTTCTCCACGCAGGTGTGCTTCAAGTACTTCTGCCGGAGCTGCTGGCACTGGCGGCACAGCACGGAGGGCCTCCGCCACCACAGCCCCCTGATGCGGAACCAGAAGAACCGAGATTCCAGCTAGAGGAGCCCGCCTTGCCTGGTGGACCGCGGCGCCCGCGGCTGGCAGGTCAGGCAGCGGCCTGCCCCACCTGGGCACCCGGCGACCAGGGAGCCGGCTTCCCGAGGACAAGGGAAGATTGTAGTCACCTTTGCACTCGCTGAGTCTGTCTTTGTTTCTGCACTAATTAATGCACAATGAGTTTTGTCGGGTTTGTTTTCAGGGGCTGGGCCAGGGCAAGGACCCTCTGGCTCACCCTCCAAGCGACTCTGTAGTTTTCCCAGATTTTAGTTCCTCATTTTGCCGAAGAAAAGCAAAAAAGAATTACGTGTCCAGAAGGTATTGACACGATGCCTACATCTAGGTTTATTTATTAAAAGCGCTTTTTTTACATTCCTTGCAATACTGATGGTGGTGATGCGCAGGTCTCGTTGGTTTCATTCTTGCAGTTGCCATACAGTGCCTTTCCATTTATTTAACCCCCACCTGAACGGCATAAACTGAGTGTTCAGCTGGTGTTTTTTACTGTAAACAACAAGGAGACTTTGCTCTTCATGGGAAAAAAAATTGCAACCAAGAAAAAAAATTTTTTTGAATTGCAAACTGGACCGGGTAAAAGGTATTTGAGCAGCTGCTGTATATAGGTTTAAACGGTTTATTGCACCTTCTTAAGTTGCACTTATTTGGGGGGGAGGGTTGATAGAAGTTTTTAATCACAAAGTCACAGACTTCTTTCTTTTGTAACTGAGCTAAAAAGGGCTGCTTTTTGGTGGGGGCAGAAGAAGGCTCGCAGGAGCCCTTTCTCTCAGAGGGGACAAGTACCCTTCCTTGTTTCTTTGATTTGAGAAATGTATGGAGCAACCGTTGCAGTGGATGGGAAATGCTACGGGATTTGAAAACTTGACTTTTTCTTTCTTTAAAAAAAAAAAAGAATCGACTTGCCCCTCTTTGGGAAGCTGTGTGCCAAAGAACCAGTGTCCTTCCCCCCCACCCCCTCCCCGCTGAGCTGACCTTGCATTGTTGCCTATCCCAGCTACTCTGTGGGTTTTGTGAAGCTGTGTGTGAAGTCTCTACCTCATTGTAGTATATGCAGGCAAGACTGCACTCTCCTACAGATGTGTGGAGTAAGCTGTGGTGTCGTTTTTTTTGGCACATAATAAACACGTTGCAGCAGACTCCTGCTCTTGTCTCTTGTCTCTGTGTCTGAGGGGCGGGGGCTTGGGGGCAGTGGGGTAATAAGATTTCAGAGTTAAAAACTCACATTTCCGCTCTGGCTGATTTGGCTCAGGGGATAGAGCGTCGGCCTGCGGTCGGAAGGGTCCTGGGTTCAATTCCGGTCAAGGGCATGCGCCTGGGTTGCGGGCCTGATCCCCAGTGTTGGGTGCGCAGAAGGCAGCCAATCATTGATTCTCTCTCATTATTGATGTTTCTCTCTCTCTCTCTCCCTCTCCCTTCCGTTCTTAAAGGAATAAAGAACAAAACAAACAAACAAAAACCCCTCACATTCCCTCCGATTTTCAGTGATGAGTTTCCAGCCCAGGTGGAGG